GTGTTGGCTGCTGGCTACACTGGAGGCTTTGAAGAAAGAGGCCAACTCGGGGGGCCGCGCAGGGCGAGCAGGAATAAAGAGAATTCAGCTGCTGGGGGCTTAGCGGACATGTGAAGGACAAAACACCGGTAACGAGACCGAGCGCCGGCGGTCCCCGAGCGAGCCGGGCGGGCGGCCCGCGTCACAGGCCCCCGCTGACATCTTCATGGCAAAGGGACTTTGGGATGGAGGCGGGGACCGGAACGGTGGTCAGCAGCTTAGGAAGTGTTGCGGGTGAGGCCCGCAGCTGGCCGTGGCGTGAGTGCTCGTGGCCCCGCAGTGCCCAGCCCCGGCCTCCGCGGGAGGCGGAAGCCAGCCGCGTCGCAGCCCCGGAGCTCGCCTGCCGGCCCCTCGCGGGGGACAGCGGGCAGGGCTTCCGCCCAGCGGGCTCAGAGCTGTCTCGGGACGGAGACGGGGGTCCCCGCTGGTCTCACCTCCGAGTGGGCGTGGGTGGGCGTGCTGGCCGGGGTGGCGTCCGTGGGTCCCGGCGGGAGGAGACGGACCCAGAGCAGCGAGCTCGAAGATTCTAGATTTCACGCTGGACTCGCTGGCCGCGACAGCCGGGAGAGTCTGGCCGGAGGAGCTGGGGGCACTTTCCGTGGGACAGACACTCGGCCGGGCTGCGGGGGGCGGCCGAGCGGGGGCTTCCTGCGGTCCTGCGGCCGCCAGGATGCGCCTTTGGGACAAGAGGGGCGTCTGGCGCCCCTGACCAGGCCTGCAGGTGCCGGCGAAGGCCCCGTGGAGGGAGGGGCCCGGCAGTGAGCCGCAGGCGTCTCCGGGGGCCCCGGCCTGCGCCCCTCAGGTCTCAGGGCGGGCGTGCGACTGCTCTTCCCAGGGCCAGCCCAGGCCCCGTCCCCGCCCTCCCCCACAGCGACGTGACCGGCGCGGGGTGCAGCGAGGGCAGATTCTGACCCCGGGAACAGGTGACGTGACGCTCTTTATTAAAACCTAGGGACATCTTTATAAAAACTACTGCATAGAAAGACAAAGCAGTGCAGTGCAGTCACTGTGAAACACGCTCTCGTTATTACATTACATTATTATTATTATTAGGAATATTATTGGTTTTTGGTTTTCCCAGTTATCAGCTCCCAGAGACCCCCACGCCTGCCCAGGTCACCTGGGCGACCCCCACAGCTGTGCACCTGTCTGCCGACCCCAGGAGGACACTCGACCTTCGGGGCTCCTGCCTGGTGGGGGTGACCGAGCCCCTCGCCCTCGGCACCCCCGCGGAGTTATTGCACGTCACCCGGCAGCTGGCTGCGGCTCTCTGGCCTGACGGATCCCCCCGGTTTCCACATAGAAAACTGGGAAGAAACTGGGAGTGAGAGCCGAGGACCAGCTCTGGGTCTCTGAGGGGGCGGCCGGGCCCACGGGCGGGCATGTGCTCGGTGCTCGGTCGCTCTCCATCACCTGCACCGTGGGGCTCCAGGCTCAGCGGGCTGGTGGGGCCCCGGGGGGCCGGGGGTTCGGCGCGGTCACAGGCCAGCTGACGGCACGAGCCCAGGGCCGGCTCTCACGCACGGCCCGGCCGCTCCCCTCGTGTGCGAGTGGTGCCCCCGGGGTGGGCACTGCAGCAGCCCCGGATGTCAGTGTGTGGAGGGCAAAAGCATCAGGGCTTTGACGTGAAGGTAGGAGTCCTAGAGACAGCGTGGCTAACGCACCAAGCATCTATCTAGCACCGACTGCCTGGCAGGGGCTAGGGCTGGAAACTATGGGGAGGGGCGTGGGGCCGCCTCCAAGGTCACTTTCGTGGGCGGGGTGGGTAGGGGCCCTGCTCGCTCTGCGGCCTGAGCACTACGGGCACACGGCCACCCACGGGCTCCGGCGCTCCCACGGCCACGCTGGCCCTGCCGTGCTGTGGTGGCGGGCCCTGCTCCGGTGGGCGCGGAGCTGCGTGGGTATCTGTGGATGGGTGGGTGAGCGCGTGTGGACGAGCGGGATTCTGGGCTCCTCCGGCCCCCCGCGTGCCCAAGGCCGCCGCTGGTGCCAGTGGAGCTCCTTGCCCAGGGAGGCGAGTGGCACTGGCGGCCGGGCTGCGTCCGCGGCCTGGGGCCCAGGGCGTCGCGTGTGCGTCCCGGGGTGGTGACCAGTGTCACCTGCTCGCCATCCCCCGAGCTGTGGGCGGGTGGACACACTGGGGCCAGGGGCACACCGCGCTGTGCTCGCCGGTTAGCAGCAACATCACCTCTGCCCCAACCCAGGGGCTCAGGCAGAAGGGGGCGGGGCGGGGGCGGGGCTGGCCGTGCCAGTGCTCCTGCCAACACCGCCGGGTGGCGGAGGGCGCCGCAAGCTGGGTCTCAGTCACCGTGGGCGGCTCTCCAGGGTGAGGAGGCCGCCGGCAAGCTGAAGACGTGAACATGGTCTGTGAGAGCCGGCGACCCGGGCAGCTTGTGGGGGCACAGGGGCTGGGGTGTGGGTGGCTGGGCCGGGCCGGGCCGGGCAGCGACCAGAGGCGGGCAGGGGTTGACCTCGGGGCGGTGGGGTGTGCCAGCGCGGCCACCCCCAGTCTCGCTGTGACTGACGCGGCCCCGGCGCTTCAGCTTGGGCACAGGGACCCCAGCTCCGGCCAGGCGTCCCCATGCCCCGTCCTCCTCCCCTGCCGGGGGCCGAATTCACTGGAAGGGCTTTTCTGACGCGGGGACGTCTGCCGCCGGCCTGCTCGCTGCCTCACGTAGCAAAGAGCAGGGACCTGCGTGGAGCATGTGGGCACCGGGTGTGGGAGGGCATGGGGGGTGTCCTGCGTGGAGGGCGTGGCGGGCGTGGGTGTCCTGCGTGG